TATACATGCTCTATAATATACACCTACACAGGCCGTCACTTTAAACCTAGGAGAGTAAGAGACAGCAAAGATATTGCTTGTTATTATTCCCCCATCGGAACCTTCCCCGCCCTCACTATTATCACCTCAAGGCGATGGGTATAGGCATCGGTATAGCGGTATCTATGAGGTAAACGTTCTTCGGATCCAGATAAATGCGTAAGATACTCTCTCAAGGTCCGGTCCGGTTTGATGAGCCACCACTTTACATTCTAATTTTAGACCCGGAATAAATTTCGGGTTGTTCTTGAGATCAAGATCTATAGGCTTTATATATATTGTTCCCATAACGCAGCTCACATGTGTCAGTGGTTTCTATAGTTGAGTGCATAACATTTCTATCGCTGACGTATTGCTGTTTGTTTGTTTGGGGGGTTTTTTGGATGCAAATTGACGGAGCTTTGTAGATTAAAAGGTTGATTTCCACTGCTACCAAAAGTGCTACGTCACCAGGAAAGATGACTCCGTGACACCTTGTACAAAATGTAACCTTTCCTTTTAATTCTGCGATGATTGTCCACATTAATGTTTTCATCCTAATTATGCCATTGAAAAATAATTCGCTCTTGAAACGTGGATATTCTGCTCAATTTTCGCCAAATTTATAAAACAGGATAACACTTCACCAATGTTGCATAACTTGAACATCAACATTTGAGTTCACCATGAAGGTTTCGCGTATGTTCGGATCCTATTCTCACAATTTTGTTTTTGCTGTCCCAGAAGGGCAAGTTCTCTGACTGACTTGAGTTACCGCCTGACTGACTTGCTGGCTGAATGAATGACTGACTGACTGAGTCCTTGCAGATCCACTCAGATGCACGCCTTTTCCCATACCTCCGATCCAAAGCGGATGACGCGTTGTTTTTGTCCAGGGTATGTGTATACACGGCCGGTGTGACCGTCTTCATCAGGTCGATTCCTCTGGCGACGACGCCCGTCCTCCCCCGCCTCTGACACGGGGCCGGGGGATGACGTTTGTCATGTTCTCTTGTCGATATCATCCACCCGTTAATTACCTTTCGTTTTTCCCCGACATACATCGGCGGCATGTCAAAGACCGGCTCTCGGGAGGAAAATAGCCAGCCACGGTACTTGATGATCCTGTAAGTTGGTCTTTTTCAGTACCCAAAGCTGAAAGGTTCCCAGTCCCCAATATCACACACCAAATTGATTAGTTTTGTACCCAAATCCAAACATTTCTCAGCAATTCAAACGTCATGTATCCATGACAGCAGTGAATAAACCTGAATGTGTATTTTTCAAATCTTATTCATCCATCATCTAGTGATGGTCAAGGAGATTACAGACTAGGAGTTTTGGATCGTTTCTCTGAGTCATTAATTAGATCATAGTTAATCAGCTCTGTCACGGACATTATATTTTCGTTCATAACGCTAGAATTGCCCTTTAGACAGTACCAAACAGACAAGAGTAATGTATACCCGTAATGTTGTAGGGCAATATCAGACTGCCTTTTGTACTTTTCCTCGAGTGGTCGGGAACAAGCAGGTGAATCAACGATCCGGTTTAATTATTCCACGGAGATCCCCGCTTAATCTCGGCTACCGCACCTTTGAAAACACAAATAGCATTATGTTGCGCAAATAAAAACCTTGATATATGTGGGTCAGTGTTTGAGGAGTGTCATTCCGGACTGTGTTATACACCCGTCTTACGGTGATGCAGGGTGTTTTTGTCAACTCACTTTCTTTCCGGTGTCGTGAAAAAAAATGGACGGCATCAAATACGGACTCATTTGTTGTATTGCGCATGCCTCATCGTACATTAGCGCATTGATAAGTCAAAACACCGAGAGTCCATAAGCGAACCAGATTCCATATATAGGTGTCCAAATTGTATATGGCACTGGTTATCACAGATGATGGGAGTGTGTTGGTTTTACACTTACGTCATCATTGTGTCCATCAGCAGGATTTAACATAACCAACGTAACGCACAAATAGTTCAAACACAACAAAGGTAAACACAAAGGCGCGTCTTGCTGCTTACGTTATTTTTTTCATAATATCCGCGATACCTTGGGTAGTTCAGGATGTTATTAGGATTATATTATGCGCCTGGATGCAACACTGTTATCAAAGTGTACATGATGAGATCGTAGAACATGTATATGGTGACTGGATTAGAAACCTTTGCAAACAGATAGGCATGAATATTCACGAATTGCCTTGGTAAATAATATCAATGATCGCACTATGACCGAGACCCCGGAGGTATGCCGATGCTTTGTTCGTTTTATGACCGATTTCATAAATTTCTTGTTAGAGCCTTGTCTTGCGTATAGTACACCACGCCACAAAAAGACAACTATGAAGTCACCCATCGATCTTATTGTTTCCTTTTGTCTATTCCCTTGGATATGTAGTCGTGATTTGATTCATGATTTTGGACTGGAAAGGTTTCGGAGCATAGTTCCATCCTCGGGTGGAATTCGCAAATTGAATTCCTTTGCGGGTCGTTGAAGGGGTCTGTGTGCATGCTTGTGAATCGCATGATGTAGCCAGGGGCAGGGATAGATCAAGGATTTAAGGAAAGAAGTCGGACGTTTAGTGCATCCGCCTCTCGGGAGCGAATTAGTTTTTTTTTATGATATTGAAATTGGCCTTATTTTTAAACCCGTGAGGACACTGTCTAGAATTTCGTTTTATATGCACGCAGAGATCTTCCATTTTTAGACACCCTCCAATTTGTGAAATAAAAAGGCACTCCCTTGACTCCCGACATTCAAAAAAGTATTCAAAATGAACAAAAACTTGTACCTCGGCTCCAGTCGCATGAGTCTATTTCTGCCGAGGTATATAGACGCTCACGAAAATGTCACTAGCTGTGACCATAGGCAAAATTCGCTGCATCAATTGGTATTAATGAACCCATCGGACCAGGCTATTTTAGATGCGTTTGTGGGTATAAGAAAAACACTGCCGTTTCCTACTTCGTCACTTCGGATTCTTCGCTTACTCGTCCTGTGCATGCCATTAACGTCTTCCGATCACCCAGCTCAGTGAACCTTCAAAGTGGCGAGACCTGTTGGGGAATATCTGCCTTCCTTCTGTAGAGATGATGTTCCGGTAAAAAAAAAAAAGAACATTCTGTGTTGGTTCATTTTTATGTGACTTTTGTGTTGAATTTTGGAAGAGAATAAAAGCTGCGCAATGTGCATTTCTTTGGCATTATCCCGTCTGTGTGAAACACAGCGGATGGACCGACTTCGTTGTTTCAACGTCCGCTCGTCATACCATCCACTTAAGTGCCATCACTGAAAGGTTTGTGTCATGGGTTTATTAAATTACATTCACCCGGATGCTTCTCACATTATAGGAATAACAACAACAGTCCAAAATAACAATGATGTCAGAGTTTATAAAACCAGCAAATGTTTGCCGAAGGACTTGCAGAGTCGAAGGGGAAAAAATTACGCCTTTGTTATCACAACAATAATGTCTTGCACGAGGATAATTGGCCGGTCTTTGGATGGGTACCGAGAGCTTTAATTAGCGGCTTTGTCATAATTGTCATAATATTTCTTGTCGGCAGAAGATTGTCCGTCTTATATTGCAAATCCTTAAAAAAGAAACCACCACCTTGGTGCTATTGTTAAACTCTAGCGCTTTCATCCCATCCGCCACAAGGACTGTGCTTCCAGATGGTCACAAATTAGCGCCTGTGGTACTCTTTGATTTTTATTCGAATTTACCTGTCTGACGATGTAATCAATTTAAAGAAATTATTTCATTTTTCCCCCTACCGTCCTTCGATGTATAGCAGACAGCACTTTGTAATACAACTGAATTTATTTTTAATTACAATGCATGGCTGACGAACTGCGAACATTGCACCGAGGTAATCTTTTCGTTACATGATTTCCTCGCGTGCCTGGCAGAAGGGCATATGCGCGTTTGCCCTTATGCGCACACACGCGTACTCATCCAAATGTTCACGGCAAAAAGGCATATCCAGAAAGTCGCCTCTATTTTAATGAAATTTAAACGTTTCCGTCGGAAATGAACACAAGTTGCTCCGAACGTTACGATTCATACGTGTGACATATTTAAAATGTGTACGATTTATGATACGCGTGGGGGAACATTGGATTCATAATACACATGGATATGGGGAACATTTGAACCTTTCAATGCAAGTTTCTTAAAAATGATTTTTACTTCAGAACGCCGGGCACCCTTCACCTGATTATGACATTCCTTATACTGTCGACGACCAACACCCATGAGAAGACTCGTAAAGTTCTCTAAAACAAAAATATGTTTTCATCTTACAATTAAAATATCTGAGTGTTCCAGATTGGATAATCCATGTGATTTTCTTTTTGAAGGATGATATAATAAGCATTCAATTGTGCCACATTTTCCTCTAGTTTATTTACATTTGTTTGTGGTGATGTGAACTTGTCGTCGGAACTTGGTTCGCCGATGTTGAAAAGCGACACCGTTCGGATGTGGGAGTGGGTGATGTGCGCTTCACACTACTGCCGGGGTATCATGTCCCTATGTTGAATACAATTTGTAACCCGGTTGGACTCGGTCAACCAGACACAGTGGCATGAGGTGTTGCGTTCCTTAAAGGGTGATTCAGACTGTCAGAATTGATTCAATCAAAAGTTAAGACTACAAAGTAGCTGTCATTTTGATATTACGGAAGTCTTGAACGCAGCTGCAAGAAGTCTAAAAGTACATTGAATAAATTGGTATTAAATTTTCATCCATGGAAAATTACAATTGGTATTAATAAAACGAATAAATTTTCTTTAAAACCCCCTGTATGAGCCGAAAATGAATTACATAAATCATAAATATGAATCATAATTTTCACTTTTTGATCATCTGTCACCACACCCATCCATGCACTTGTGGCGACCCGACAGCAACGTCGATACGGAATGCCGTTTGCAAGATGAAAGCTGTCAATAAAAAAAAATCAACCCTGCTTATAGCCTCGTCTCCAGTCGTTGTCGCCATCAATCTCATTCCCGTGGTGATATACGGGTAATATGATTTGCTTACACGAGGAGGCGAAGTGTGAGCGCGTGCGTGAACGCGCTATGTGATTCAATGATGGACAAAGCACCGCCTACCAAGAGCGAAATAGCGGCTGTGGTTGGATTGAGATAAAATAGCCCATCAACCAGTGGTACTTCTACTTCCGACGGAAGCATGCACGCCCGCGCATGCCCAGGCTTATAAAGGCAGTGCGTGCGCCGCTCAACCTTCAGTTGGTGACTGGCACTCGTTGGCCGATACTCGACAGACAGAAGAAGAAAGATACCCTTGGTGAATTCACAGCTCAGTGCGCGAAACAAAAAAAAACATTGCAATTAGACGGCGAGGTAATCTGGACGACCAAAAAAAGACCTGCAAGGACACATTCTTGATTGTCTACTTTTGAGAAGTCCGAGAAGGACAACTTGTAGGAAAGCGAGAAGAGTATACTGCAAAGAGATAAGGCGATTGAGACCATGAACATGAAACTGGACAGTATGTTGGTAGTCAGTGGCATGGTTTGGCTAGTTCTACTAGTAACCATCTTAACAGGTGTCAGTGCTAAACCCTTTGATGGCGGGGAAACGGAGCTGCAGCCCAGGAGGCCCTACCACAATCGGGACTGGTTCCGCCTCCGTTACTCCAGGACTGTGCCAGATTTTGTACTGGGCGCCCTGGATCAGCTACACCACCGCGAAAAGAGATTCCCCAGAGTGGTGAGTACTTTTTCCAAGTTTTGTAATGTTGCAATTTTTTGTTGCACCTCCTTATCTCTTGGTTTAGAGAACTGCTAGAATTACCGGCATCCACGCACGATGGTGCGTTTCAGACTCTAGCCAATAGCCCACTCCTTGTGATTAGTGGAGTGGCTATTATTTCCACCGTTACTGGGACGTTCCAGAGTTCGTTTTAATTATTTCACACAAGCTCTCAGCTTACTGCATGCATGTCCAGAGCTTCACAAAACGCACGTGCGATGGCGCTAAAGCATCGAAGCGTCCCAGTAATAGCAAACAAAACCGTCAACGTAATTTCAAAACCTTATTGGTGTATGATTTCTGTAGGGGACACAATATTTTTTTGAAAAGGATCAAATCTTGTATATTAGATACGGGTATGATTAGAAAAATGAAAATCCACTGTTCAAGCCATTCCCAGCAGTTTTTAATATTATTTAGATTTTACTGTAAAAATAAATTCAAAGTCAAGAGTCACTTGCGGACGTTGCAAGATAATGAAGAATGTATTTGCGGCAACGAGGCGTGTTGGCAAATACGTTTGTGCGCTGGACCTACCAAGGGCTAACATGATTATTATCTCCTTGCTATGTAGTTTTTTTGTATCCCAGCCAACATTTTATATTTTCATTGTGTGGGTTTTTTTCTGTGTATGTACGTGGAAGTATTCGGGAGTATGTCCCGCGAGGCATAGATTGGTCGAGTAGTAAATACAAACCTTGTCTCGCGTGACTGCTAATGAAACCTAGTTGAACACCTGACGCACCGGGTCTGTTCAATTCCCGGGGCCTGAAAGAGAAACTGTCTGTCGGCGTCTGTAATCTTCGCCTGATTCCTCTCGTCGTGGTCTCAAAATGCTCCCAGCACGAGTTCGGGAGAGTGTGAAAAAAATTGCGACACGTTTTGTTTCGCCGTTAATTATTGAAAATTTACCAGGAGGGTAGAAGACGCGCGCAGTCCTTGCACGAAGGATGAGGCACAGTTTGCGTAAAAAAAAAGCCAAATAGCCTTTTGTTCTTCAACATTCGCATTCGAATAAAAAAAGGTGACTCATGATTTTATTTTTCATTTTTGAAAGCAAACAGCATTGATTTTAACTGATTTTAGCTTCTTAAAAAATAAGTAAAACTACTCAAATCTAATTTCAAAAGGCTGCATATATATGGAAACAAATCGAGGAAGAGGTGCTTGCGAATTTTTGGAGTTAAACACTATATACTTTCGAATTCTTAGCAACTTCATTGGAACAAAAAAGAAATACTCCGTAATAAATTTTGTTTTTGCAGGAGTTATGTTCCACCTCAAAATGTTGAAATGTTTACATGCCCAAGTGTCGTCACAAATCTGTGGCTGTGTTGACCTACTCAAAGCTGAGCGCACTAGCAGTGAAGCCTTTTTAGAATAAAGGTCAATTTACCGATGAAATTAGGTCACAGTTAAACAGGCGGTATTAAGACAGTATATATAGGCCTACTGCCAAACCACTAGAAATAGGTTTCGCAAGTCGACAAGTGGTTTGGCTGTACGTGAAGGGTAACATTTTCCACATTTTTGTCTGAGTGAAAGTTTTGGTGATTTGAGGAATTTACCTTGCATATCCCTGATGGCCCTAGTAACGGTCGGTAAGAATCCGGCTGAAGCGAAAGTTACCGTGACAGAAAAAAAATATTTTATTGACGATTTCGTTTTAGACAAAGCGGGGCTTTTGGCCCATTGGCATATTTCATTTTATCAAGTCTTTCAGGTCGCTGAATATTCATGCTTTTCCGTACATTTGCATAAAACAATTGTGTCCAAAATGTGCACAACATTGGGTGTCCAATAGCTTAGGCCCACAGGTAGTCCAAACCGAGATGCACAAAACCTTCTTGCTAAAAGTAAAAACATTGCTTGAGCGTTCGGATTTTTCTATTTGAAACATCCACTTTGAATAAATAATACATTCTGCACTTCTTTAGAAAACACTAACATTAACCTGTGAGATTGAAAATATCTAAACGTCATTTCGATGTTGATTTAAAGAAAGCAGTGAAAACAAAGATGTGACAAAAAATCAAAAAGAGCTCAAGTGTTAAAAGCTAGACGTTTTTCCCAATGAAAACGACATCTGGAACACGAGGCATGCGGTAAAACTGATATGTTAGAAGTGGTCCTTCGGCCTCGATCAGGCAAAAGCAATCAAGGGTTTTAGTGGATCATCCGCCATTAACAAACCACTACGGTCACACATCACCACGATTGTATGTAACACACTGGATGACAGAAACTGTCTCATTTACTCTTGTCCTCCAAGTCTGTCAGTGAAGATCGCTTAGCACAGGCTCGACGCGATCGGATAATAATGCCGGGCGGCATGATGGACGACCCCTCGCCTCGCCAATGTCATAATCCCGTCGTGCCGATGAGAAATCCGCTGTTAATTCGGAAGTCCGGGCCTGCGCGAGTGATTGGCACGTGTGAATGACGGCTTAATCAGGACCGAGAGAGTGGAGTCGAGACTTCGCCGTGTTTGTTACCCAACAGCTCGGCGGACGATGACGCTTCGCGACCCCCTCGGCGGCCTGGCGCGCACCGGACTCTCAACAGTCCCAAAGTCCAGCTCGATTCCAGGTTTAATTTGGGTCAAAAGTCCCCGGCATTCCCCGTACTTAGGTACGGTTTACATTCACGCCAGTTGGCCAGCAGTGCATTAATTTAAAAACCTCTTGGATCATCTCCGCTCAATTTCCTCCCCCTTCTTCTATTTTAATTAGAAGTGAACATATTGGAAGAAGTTTTAATAAAGACACCTCAACCTTTCCAATCCTTATCTAAGGAGGTCAAGTCAATTTAATAACTGACGTTTTCAAGGAGATACTTTTTATGGTTCTTAATTTTTAGGACATGTCACCACAAACCCGTTTTTATAAGTTTCTTTCGGAGACTATATACTCGTTTCTCAATATTTTTCGCGCACTGTTGAGTCAATATAGACACTTACTATTAAACGCTGAGTCCAAAGAAGCCTGCCCATCTTTAATGGATGGATGATAAATATTCTGTGTGCTTTTACTATTACGGCGTTTGTCTGTTGATAACAGAGGGATGGTACGGGGATTAGTTGTCGTGACACGGGCGCACCTCCGACATCTACCTCCGCTATTTTCGTTTAAGCCGCGGCGTATATCTGTCCACTTAGCAACCAATGTAAACACCTCCCAATGCCGTATAAATAGAAGAGGTTGGTCTTCACTTCAGTTTTAGTTCGTAGCTTTTCCCCCATAGGCCTACGAGGAATTTCAGTTGACCGTTCACAAATTCAGGCAAGGAAAAGAATTTCTAGCTTTATGCTCTTGTAGATCCGTGCAAAACAAACAAAGATCGAAAAACACTTATTTTACCCTTATTAATTTATTGGCAATAGCATAGTCGTAGTTAAAACTACAAAGTACTCAGAGAGCGCAAACCTCCGACAGGCTAAACAATTCCCCGCCATATTGTCAGTACACCCAAAAGAAATACTCGCATAAATGTTAGGGCATCCTTTTAAACAATCCTGGATCCAGACCCAGATCCGGATCACTTCGAAAATCTAATCGATTTGTACTTGTATCAAGAACCATCCCTTAAAAAAATTCATGCAAATCCGTCCATAATTTTTTGAGTGATCTTGTTAACAATAACAGACAAACCAACCAACAAACAAAACAAACGCCGAAGAAAACATAACCTCCTTAGCGGAGGTAATAGAAGTCTTAATGAAAAATGAAAACACTCAACGGTCGAACGTAACAAGTTACAATGTTAATATCGGAGGGTGAAACCCCACCCCTTGTTTCCCATGGTCGAATCTTCGAAATTTAACACCATATACAGTGAAGACATTGAGCGGACTAAACCAAACCAGAAAGAGGAAATCCTGTTTTGACTGCAACTGCTGTCATTGTCGTTTTACCCCGTTCCGTTCGCTTTGTGCGAACACAAACGAAACACAATACATATACCACTATCCAGACATCTTTCGCCTCATTAATATTTCCGATCGCGAGCCGTCAGGCCAAGGCAGCGCGGCCGCGCATGCGGCCGCATAGTACATTAGAGCTCATGGGCCTTCTACCTTCGCATCCACATTGATTTTTAATGTATACATACACATCCTGTAAAACAACTCGGAAGGTAAAACGTCCATCAGTAACACCTGATGTTTACTGGACGATTCCTCGCTGTAATATCGATCCGTCATTACGGAACATCACAATCGCCAGCTCGTATTAAAATCTTATAGCTTGCTCTCTCACGACCGAAGAAAGAAAGAAAGAAAAAAGACCCTCTTTTGAAATTAACGATTTTATCCGGCTACACACACGCAGTTAATGGAGTGGATGGTCACCAATATTTTAGGAGTAACATGCGAACAAAATAGCAACATTCCAATCGGGTGAAGGACACGCTCAGCACGTACGTTGATGCCGAATATTGACAGCGCTGTTTTGTTGGTATGAGGAGAACGCCGCGCATTGGAGCTCGTGTGGAATTTCAATAAACAAAACATACCTCCTTTTTAAGGAAAAGTGAAAACACTATGTTGAAAACATGAGATCAGGGAATGCACGATCCATTTCAAATCCTTCTTTGGGGGTGGGGGGAACTATAAGATTTTTTTTCAATTAAGAACACAGACCAAAAGTACCGTTTTTGTTTCAAGTATAGAATTAAACCATTTTTAGAATTAAACTATTTTCTCCGGACGACATACATGCACAGTGAGTAACTTGTCGAACCACCAAAATCGGTTCTGTCCCGTTGTCCCTTTCCTTTTAAATTTGGGTACTTTAAAACATTCTTAAATGTATTCCTTAATGTATTCCAGATTTGCAAGACTTTTTTGTCCTTTCACTAACCGTCATCGAACTCTATTCCGGAGTGAATTTTATAAAATGACTTTCCCATCATCATGTGGCTAGTAGGCCTATTAACGCATGGCTAAAATGTAATCTGTATCTTGATAATCTTCGTCCTCTTTACAAACAACCCGTGTTATATTCGCAATGACTTATCTATTCTGGATGCATTTTACATCCCCCAAAAGTTACTGCATAACACGAGACCCATCTTTCTGGATTTTCTTTTCTGTACGCGTGCCGTTATCCAACCATGACAGTTCGCCACACAGGCCGTAAAAAAGCCATTGAATTACTGCCAGACTTCCAGATACTCGCCTTCTCGCGCAAGACGACAGTGTATTAAATTTGAATCAATTTGAAAATCTCTGCCCCGCAGCTCTGACGCGTGAGATCGTCTTTATTTTATTGTTTCACAATCCTTTGTCGCTTTCCCCTTTAGTCAACTCAATGTCAGCCCCACTATCTCGAGTGCAATCCTTGGCGTGTTCTAAGCACAGGTCACGCAATGGTCCAAGGTGGTTTTTCCATTGTCCATCAACGCACTAGAAGTGAACAATCACCTTCACCTTTTGTGCCCAAACACAATACCTTTCGCTTTCCTTCAGATAAGTGAATTATTTCCCGGTTTTCTTATCACCTCTCATTAACTTATTAGGGCTTCAGCGCTTCTAGCCTGTACTGCGTGGCTAGCTGGATAGAACCGCCTTGACAGACCGCCACGATTTTACAAGACGAGTCTGGGCACGTGTTCACTGTGGACAATCACGGAGGCCCCAATCAATGGAGAAACTATTGTGCACGCTATTGTACAAATCAACTGCTCCGTGACGGATTATCTGAACAATAGCTAGCGCAATGCTTTCGCCATTGAAGGGGGCCTTCGTGTTAAAAGTGACATCGTGCCCGGATTGGTCCGTTGGTTAGACTGAATGTCATTATTTTAGTTTTGATATGATCAGATATCTTGAAATGAGATTGGTGTAAAGTGGTGACATAAAATATGAAATGTGGGGCAAAAACATACGAAAGTTGCCTGTCGTTTGCCTGTGTATTCAGGTAACAAATGGTTATTTTTTTGTGTTTTAATTAACGTTCGTTTAATTTCGTTCGGTTTCTTGTTCTTGCAGCCGATGGGAACGCAGTGTACCTCCGACAGCCAATGTCCGCGTCCTGACCACTGTTGCGCCATGAAGCTCGGCAAGGCGGTCTGCATGCCCCGACTGACCAGGGGACGGACCTGCATGATCAACGGCCCTCAAGCCTACTCCACCAATATCCTCTTCACTCAGTGCCCTTGCAGCAGCTTACAGGGATTATCGTGCCAACGCATGGGCCAAGGTAACCGGGGCGTCTGCAGCTCAAGCTAAACCAGAGCGCCGCTAGGCTTGAAGACTTGAAAAGTCCAGCTGTACTGATCAACAATATCAACAACAACAACAACAAAACAAAAATATAAATAAACAAGTCGACTTCGAACTGCAGCTGTAATCGGAAGCTGAAACGAGCTTCTCCCAGTCCCACGGCCCGTGGATTCTGGGGTGCGTTTCCACCTGGTGACATTTTTGTAAATTAAACGCAAAAAAACTTATAGAATTCAGCCTGTACATTTTGATATAGCTCTGCACTGCACGCACCTCCCTCCAGGCAATCAACGCACCGCAATGCACAGCACGAAACACGTCTAGAGATGAATAACAAAAACAGAACAATGAAAACGACTGGAATTCCTTTTAAAAAATCTACGCTAGTCCTTCTATTATCGTATAAACTCGATGCTCAATGTGTGTTTGTTTGCGGCAACACCAACCTTGACATGGGAACTTCTCCGGTATATCCCCGAGTTGTCTTTTCAACTCAATAGACTGACATTAATCTGCCCGGGAATTTTTCCGGAAAAAAAACAAGAGTCAAACCAAGGAAAGAATTGACTGGTCAAGACGGGGCAAATTGAAGACTTCGAGTGGGTTTACTGCGGTCGCTGATCAAGCAAAGGAGTAACTTATCCTTGGCCTTCACAGCTCGCCATCGTCATAGTGAGTACCCGGTCCATTCAGTCGCAGCAAACACTTTTCAAACCCTTCAAACAAACACAAAAGCTTGCGACCGGTGATAGCGGAGAAACGATATGCCTCTCCACCCAACGTCCACCCACTTCAGCGGCCACTTGGGCAGGCATCTACCGCGACAATGCTGCAGATTTTGACTGACTATTCATCAAATGTTGTGTTGTCAGTGAGACTTAATTTGTTTTAAATGCGGGTATTCTTCTCACAGCGGGGAGAAAAATAAAAGACAACAATCCCGCGTATTCTTTTGTCATTCTGAGCTTTCAAATAAAATCACATGACTAATGTATTCTTATTTACATAGAGATTACAAATTTATTTTCCTGGGTTTTTTTGCCGGCCTCGTCTTGTGAGTAGTTAGAGTTTGTGAAAGAGGCTGAGTAGCTCAAAGATATATCAGGCCACTTGGTGAATTAGCCACGGTGCTTGTTTGTACATGTGTCTCTCCACCAGAACAAAATAGTACCCTTTTTGAAGTCTTTCTGTGTAAGAATGTGTATTTAAGGAGCGTTCAGCAAAACAAGAACACCTGAGATGTGATTTTCTATCTATACTGAGCGTTCCTGGGACCTTTTTCAAACATTATTATTTTTTCCACGGTCTGGTCTTTCACCTAAAAACGATTCCCCCAAATGTTGTTAGTTTCAGAATCGCACGTATATTTTCAAAGCCACTTTTAATGATACTAGCCCAGATGACACTCAGACTTGCTCGGAAAGAGAAAAGTATACCAACCCTAAAAGTAATAACAGCACTGTAATCAGTGTCAGTATATATTGCTATTTTGTATTATTTATTTTGAGAACTTTACTGGTACTTGCCTTTTTGGTTGTGAAGCTGCATGCGGCTTTTTTTTTTTTTTGGTTAAAGACGAGTTTACAAGGAAACGATTGCCTTGCTATTCAGAATTTCTGGCGGGAAATATAAATATATTATTATTTAAAAAACCGAATGTATATAAATGACTACTGTACATAAAATGTACTGAGACGAAGATGTACTCTATATCGACAATGTAAATGTGACTGATATAGCTTATTGGATTAGATTTAAACTGCTTGAAAATGATTTCCGTTTCCCAATAGCTATAACTCCCCACCAGCACGTGCCACAGTGTTGCTATATAGAGACCGCAGATTATAATTGTGCAGAAAAGATATCTATTTTGAAAATACGAATACAGAATGTCAAAGGATAAATGACGTATTGGTTATTCGATAATTAAAATTAGAAAGCTGTGATGCTTGACATGGGCTTGGTGATAATACCCAACAAAACTATATGAAATAGTTCATTTATTTGAAGACAAAAAATGTTTTAAGCAATCTTACATAGTGGTGGTATGATTCGGTATGATTAGGTATACATGCAGGCTGGATATGAAATCAGGTGTTCACAAGTCAAATCTTTTGAATAGGCGTTACACACTCATTCACAATCTATCCCTCGTATACGAGAGACGCATTCGACTGCCTTCATAATAATTTTTACGAGATATAGCCGTTATGAAGTGATGTATCGCACGCGCAGTTTTGGCCTTGTGCGTGTTGGCTCAAGACTATAGTGGATAACGATTTTCTTCCCAGCATGCATGCTGTTGCTGATTGGAGGTACGGAACCGCTTATACACACAGACACGCGCACCCATTCTGCAACGACACAATCTCAAGCTGCCTATAATCTATCGCACTCTCTCATTGCAATCACTAATGAAATGTGAGAGAGTTTGTTGTCAGTAAACAGCTGGAGAAATGAAGGTTGCAGAACGATTACTTTTCGGTTTTCCTTTCGGAAAGATTTTTACTGATGATTTTTTCATGCGACGTGATTTTGTTTGTTGGCAAAAGTGCCAGTACTTCAAACATGTCAATTGTTAACAAGGCGAATTAATTGACAAAGGAACCATTTTTGTAAGCATGGGGGAAAAATCGGTGTCATGGTTTTAAAAATTGAAGAGTTAGTGCCGGTGTCATATGGAAATCGGACTCCTGTGAATTGGTTAAACCCTCTCACGTGACCGGTCACTCCCCTTATTATCTTCACTTGGGCATGCGCAATACTACCAATGAGTCCGTATTTCATATAGTCCTAAATTCACGCTACACCGGTGTCTGATAACTTTGAGTATCATGATAGGTTGGATTTGCTCCTTGTCCTTGCGTTTACCTCAAAAATGCTTTGAAAGGTCCGAAAGAAAACAAATACTGTATGCGGATCATCCAATCGAAGAAACTCACTGTATGTACCTTATCCTTCCCACTTAGTCGCCTGCTGTGTGTGTATCTGGCTCGGTCCCGAATTATTGAGCAGTATGCGCTTATCCGTACTGGGCTGCATTGCATACAAGATGTGTATAAATTGTTGAGATTTTTTTTTCGAATGTGTGTTCATAGCTCTAATTTATGTTGTGTAAAAAGTTTATGATCTTGGTGATAAATTTATTGATTCTTTAAATTATTCGCAAGACGAGCTTTAGATGTATTCAAGTTGATGTCGGTGGAAACGAATAAAGGCGAAAAAAGACCATGAGATGAAAATTATGACGACAATTTTTGAATTAGTGAATTCGTAAGAGATTCATCTTGGAATTTCCTTCTTAATTTGACCGTTGCTTTCATCAAATGATTGGAAATTAAAGATAAGGTAATACAGGGACGTATTCAACAGATACCAAGATACCTTTTGATATCTACTATTTCAAAGAGTACGCATTTATTATAGTCTTTTCCTCTCGCAATGATATCAAAATGTTGGGTTTTTTGTTGCAATTAAAAAGGCAACGGATATCATTGAAATTGGAAGTTATCCATTTTTTTTTAACAATGACAGTTCTCGATCTCGTGGTGGGTTTCTCTTTAGGTAGGACAAAATTGCGCCCTCTCTCAGAACTCAGGACGAGTCCATAACCAGTCCTAGACGTTTCAAATGAAGAAGTTCATTTTTGGCTGTTATACATATATCTCATGCATCATTATTTAACCATAAATTCAAGCACCGCCCATCTTTTCGTATAGATGACCATTGCTACAGTGATAAAGCTGACAGTTAGGTCAATCAACATTTCTGTATATTCGGTTATTTACAACCATGTCCGTGTTTTTATGGCGAATACAACACTGTCGCCCGCACCCCCGTAATAATCACAACGCATTATCATCTACACTGAACTATTTTCACGCTCGTTCCCCGCCGCCGTATAAACAGCCATAAATTATTTGCTCACTAAATGGACTTGTATCAGGCTAATTTAATAACTCAGGGGGACAGGTTTCGAAACAGTTGGGTGAATCGTCGTTGAGCAGCTGGGTTCCTTTTTTTAATTTCCGATATTGAAAGATTCATCTTGTAGACCTTGAACGAAACTGATTGTAAGACCATTGGTGGCGTATGTTGCCTGAGATGACTAGCCCTAATTCTTATGGTTTCGGGGGGGGGGCGTTGCTCTCTGCAGTTGGTTAAAACAAAAAAGGGGTTTATAATTTCGCTGATGATTATTTGAAAATTGAAAGCTAACAGGATATTTCTATTGATAAATAAACAATCCAATATGACCCACGTGTTTCTCTTGTTTAATGGGCTATTGATAATAGGAATTTTTTTAAATTAAGGGTGATTATGACACTAGATTAGCTGCAAAATTAGACCACGGTTGAATCAGCTCCGAGATTTTTTAAAACTAAATAGTAACGACCTGTTTTTAAAGGAACATTCCTCACCGCTTGTGTGTAAGACCCATGATTGGAGCTCCACATACAGCAAAGTTATCAAGAAATGTTAAAAGAGCTTCCAAAAACACAACGAGATTATAATTTCCCCATCATAGTTTGAGAGTTTGACAAGATAATGCATCCCGCAAACAGTTATGCCGGCTTCAAACATTTCGTACGTTGACGGTATTCGCGCGAGGACTCGTGTCAACAAAGTAAGGCTCGCCTCACCTCATGTTGGCGTTTTTCATTTTTCACAATAAATGTCACGGGAACGCGGCCCTGTTGAGTGATGCATTTCCCGGCGGGGGACCCTGATAATCAACGCGGTAAATGCACCGCCACGTCACATTCACGCGCCCATGGGACACACTGATGAGGCATTTATGATAATAAAAATGCCACCAGCGACCTCAATCATCGTTCACATTTTGCTGGCGAGACATTTTTTGGCGAGAACACCCTGTGGACTTTGTGGAGGTGTTTCTTTTCGCTGGTCTCATAGGAGCCGGCATATAGTCCATGTTACCTTTGACGTCATACCAGCGGCAAACGCCGGGCATCCCAAACATGTAAGCACATTTGCTCATGTTGCCCACATTAGAGAGTTTCTGTCACCACTTTTACATAAATCACATTTCAAGAGATATACAGGCAGTGCAGAAGAGAACCGATTGCCGAAAGAAGGCACCACGTATAACCATACCATCCAATTTGTGAAGAAAATGTAACATGGTCTACAGTCCTCTTTGAAAGATTTGCGTGTGACTGACTCACTCGCTGACGTACTGAATGTGAATTAGACTTTCCTAAGTCACGTCTTGGCCCAAAAGTTTGAAATGGGATTACCCCCGTGATGCTAACAATTGGGCTAAATCCGGCCCAATGAGGAGGCCACGTGCATGGAACGTCTTCTAATGGATAGCCATTCTGCATCGATTAGGCCTAACTAAAATTTTGCGCGCTCGTTTTTACTACGACGTTTTACTAGGATTGCCTTGTCTTGTTTCAAATAATTAAGGGATTAAAATCTTAACCACCGCACTACTTGTATATCTCTTGAAAAATGACTAATTTGAAATTGTTGATGAATAAATATTTAACAATTGTTGACTGCTGTGATGTGGGATATGACGTTTTTAACACCCGAGGGGCGTATAGCACCCGAGGTGAATCTTTGGATTGTGATGTAAAAATCGCGAAAACAAACAGCAGTAAGCACAACAATCATGACGATCGAACGTCAACTCACATGCATGTCGCGTGCTCGAAACGGCTGATATCGTACGTGATATCCCACAGGGAGTGTGCCATGACTTTTTTTTATAAACTTAACACGTGGTCGTTCTAGGCCAATGAAAATATAGTATTCAAGACAGAGGTATAACAAATATATACATGTATATTTGCCAAATAACATGCAAAATATGCGATAACGTTTCGGTTGCCCAGCGGTTACCTGTCGACATGACGTCACAGGTCACATGTCCTATTGGTTTGATCGTTTACCTTTGACCTTTGATTAGAGTCATCTCTAGCTCTGGTCACATATTCATTTCGAACGATCAGTTGACCGGCTGTGTAATGTTAAACAGCTAAGCAAAGACAGGAAGCGGCGCCGATTGTCATAGAGCATAGAACAAGAAGAGAATAGCGAAGAAATTTGCCACAGAAAATAATTATTTGCCTGCACACTACACTTGACGGGTCAATTGTCAGCTTTATAAAGGCATACCGATTAGCACGACAATATTAATTTGCGCACCATAATGTTTTCTGGTTCACCGTTCCGTGACATTGGTCTGTTACAACAACGTTTGGGTTTTCGATTTTCAGGCTGATCAGAAGACACAACCTTGCCAGATCCAATGTAATACTTCCGGGTCTGTGCAATTAATGTCGCATGAATCTGATGGTTTAGAATAATAAGCGCCAAAAGGGGCGGGTATTGAAACCTGTTAAACCGCAACGATTGTAGAACGCTTGGGCTCGCGTAGACCTATGAGATCCATTATCCTATTTGATACTGTCATATGTTCAAGCCATTGTATTCTCTTAGACAATATTCTCTTACAATTTGAGCAATTAAAGCCTCATTCATAAATCCTTAATGGACGCTTAGTGATATTATGAAGCTTTTGCGGCCTGGTAATGGTATAGTGTCAATTTTGAAATAGGTACCCCTTTGACGTAGCTCAAGAAACCCCGCGGCTGATCATCCACGTGCTAGCTTTGTTCATCCCGCGATACATCAGATTATTGCCACTTGAAGATGCGGTACTTAAGAAACTGGGTGTCGTGTCCGTCGATAGAGTCTGTATAATCGTTTAAAATGTACATTATATCCAAGTTTTGTAGCCAGAGTTACATGTATTGAATTAGAGATATTGAATTGAACAGGGACGGTAACTTCACGTCATGCAGCCGTAAACCTATTTGTATTATCAATACATCTGCGTGCATTGTATTTTTCAAAACTCACGGCGATTTTTTGTTGCGTTTACAAGTTTGGCCGGGATTGTGTGGACAGTTCTTTTATTCATCATTCAGAGGAGTTTGAAGGGTCTTGACATTGGGAAAATACCAAAGGGTAACGGATCAAAATGATATGGTCTTCAAAATCAGTCTCCGTGTTTGAGGTCGTAAAAATGAATCGTGAACCGAAGTGTAAAAACAAAGTTGCGATGCAGTTATAATTATTCCAATCTCTTCAATTTATGTTGATGCATACCATATTTGACTCACAGTGATTTAATAAGTCTACCCAACCCGGCAGGTTCATCGACCATCGAGTCCCATCAATTTTCGACAAGCTCTCGAGACAAAGTCAAAACATGAGATTATAGCATTGCTTCTGTCACCTTCTTGGGAAAAAAAAAACTGCGGATAAAATTCAAGCTTAGAAACACGAATCACACCATGCATCGTTGAGTTATTGGCTTTGTCAGATTGCTGCGGAAGTTGTCATGGTTTATGATGGGAATTTTAAGTATTTTTTATCGAGTGTGTCTTCTCAAGTTGTCACGGCAGTGTGTGGTACTGATGTATCGACATCACAAAGCGTGTGAGAAAACACTTGAATACGTCAGCGTTATCAGCAGATGTAGATAAATGGTAACGCATCTACCAGTCGTTGGTATTTAGGCGGGATTTCCTTCAAAGGTATTTGTACATTTTGTTGTAAAGCTTGAACTGAACTTTTAAGTGAAGTAAAGTAAAGTCTGTCACGAGCCAATATGATCCACCCGGCTTGCGTTTATCTCCGGTTTCCTGGGCAAGAAACGACTGAGAATATTTCTATTCCCCCTGGATGGAATGCCAGTCCATTGCAGGTTACTCCTCAGCTAATGCCGATACCAGCTTATACTCCTTGGTGGGGAGAGGCAAGTGGAGGTGAAGTGGCTTGCCCATGGACACAACATATTATGGCCAGCAGCTGGATTTGAACCCCTGATAATTATGACCACCTGATTCACAAACCCTATAACCACTAGGCCAACTTTGCAATAGGCCTAATGCTTAATCGGGGATCTAGTGGTCATACCAGTGCATTTCTTTAAATCTGAAGAACCCCAGGATTCTTCCATTGAAGGTGGAAGCATTCCTTACTCCATCTTTCCTCGAGATTGACAGAAAAAGATGAGTTTAACAGAGACAAGAGTCTTCGAAATCACTATTCACTTTATGCGACCTGAAAGAACACTGACTGGGTTTTTTTTCTCGTATCACTGAGTGAAGTGTATTTCGGCAACATAATCTTTTATTATTTGTTACCCGTTTGCTAGTTTTGCGGTACTTGGTGGGTTAATATTTACCGCCTTGCACTTCGCATG